CCTCCGCCATCCTTTTGAAAGGGCACACGCACCTTCTCCGGGTCCACCCCCTCCGCCTCCTTTTGGGGTAATCAGCTCTCGACGCAGCTTGGCCAGGCGGGCCTTCAACAGCCCCAAGTGATGGGCTGTGGCTTTATTCTTTTGGGTGCGAGCCATCTGGAATAGAGAGAAAAAAAAATCAGGGCCAGCAGGTAAATCCATTGGCTCCAGGACTGGCGCAGACATGGCAGGGCCAACCTTGTGACGTGGCCTCTCAGGTTTCAGAAAGACAGACCCGCTTCTTATGGCAGAAATGAATAGAATAGAGCTGGAAGGGACCTTGGAGGTCTTCTAGTCCAGCCCCGCGCTCAAGCAGGAGTCCCTATACCATTTCAAACAAGTGACTGTCTAGTGTCTTCTTAAAAATCTCCAGTGTCGGAGCACCCAGGATTTCTGGAGGCAAGCTGTTCCACTGGTTCATTGTCCTCCCTGTCAGGAAGTTTCTCCTTAATTCCAGGTTGCTTCTCTCCTTGATTAGTTTCTGTCCATTGTTTCTCGTCCTGCCCTACTGATAACAAAACAAAATGGGTTTTGTTATCAGTAAAAAGAGCAGCAGGTCCATTTTGGACAGAGGTGGTTCAGGAAAGTTGCCCCATTCGTGCATCTCCAGCTCGTTGCCCGCTCGAGGCTCCGTTTCAGCCGACGACGCCCGTCCCGGGTCAGAGCCAGCCCGACCGCCCAGCCACGCAGCGTCCCTGCCGGTTACTGGACGGGGACCCCGGGGCTGGGAAGGGCCAGGACGGCGTCTCCGCCGGGGTTCCCGCCTAGGAAAGCACCACGTCCGCCTTGCGGCGAAGGTGCCGGCCGAGAAGCCAGGCGGGTCTGGGTTCTAGTCCTGCCTTTGGGGCACGGGAGCTGGTTGAGGGATCTGGAGCCGGCCCACCTCGCAGGGTTGTTGTTGTTGTGGGGACAATAATTCACTGCCTGGAGCTGATCGCAAAAGAAAGGATGGAAAGCGAATCTTCGCCGTCGCTTCGCTCTTCTTTTCATGGCTCCCCCGCAAAAATCGCCGCAGCTCCGGGACAGGCGCGTCATCATCCTCCCTCCCGCGGCGCCCCTGGATTCCCGCTGCCGACGAGCCCAGAGGCCGCAGACCCCTTCGGGCCGCCGGGCAGGGCGGGCGCCTGGCCAGGAGTTCCGCAGGCCGCCCTCGCCTCCGCCCGGCTGACTCCTGGCCGGTAGACTGCCGCTGTGCGGAAGGTTCCACCACAACGCCACGGCTCCCCCCGCCCGGGTGCAAGCGGCCCCTCGGCCCTCCGTTACCTCCGCCTCGATCTCGGCGATCTTGGCCAGCGTCGTAGCCATGGCGGCGGCGGCGGCGGCGGCGGCGCTGGCGCTTCAGAGATTGCGGCCCCTCAGGCTGCAGCCGCGCACGCGCGGAATACAACCCTCGCGCGACTTCCGACAAAAGCCCTGCGGGGGAGGAGCAAAAACGAACGGGAATTGACACGCCGGCTTGCGCGCGATTTCCCCTGACGCAGGGCGCGAAAATGCCATAGAGCGCGGACGCCAGAGCGGCACGTGTCCTTCCAGCGCTTTCCTCCTCCGCCACTTGAGGGCGCCCCCTGGAGCTGAGCGGCGGCGGAGCGCCATCTCGCTCCGCTGGTTCGGGGCGCCCGGGGTCCTTTCCCAACCGCAAAGGGAGCAGGCGCCCCCCCCGCGACTTGCACCGCAGTTCCCCTGCGGCCGAAGCATGGGGGGCGCCGTGCAGGACGACCCCCGCCAAGTGGGGGCGTTCCGACTCGCCGCCAGCCCCGATCCCGCGCTGCGCTCGTTCCCGCTGCAGCCCGGGGACGGAGGGCGCCGCCTCCGGGGGCAGAATTCAGGGCCTGGTTCGCAGCGTCTCCGCCAACGAGCGGGGCTGGCTCCGTGTCTGCATGAAGCCAGCAAAGTGGCCCCGGGCTGGCTTCCCCAGAGCGGACGGTGCCCAACCGCCTCCCAGAGAATGGCAGTTTGGGGCCCGCTCACAGCCGGGCTACACACCCGTCCCCAGTGCCGCCAAGGGGGAGGGAGGAAAAAGGACGTGGTGCCCGTCGGGGGCATCTTGTGTGAACGCGCTCATCCGTTCAGGGTGCAACGCCTGTTGCACAGGAGCATCGGCTTCCAAATCCAGCTCCCACCTGCCAAGAGCACCAAGGCCCATGTTGCTGGACAGTTGGCCTCCAGGAAGGAGTATCGGCAGAGGCCAAGGGAGAGGGATCTGCTGGTGGTTGGCTGCTCAGGGCGGGGTTCCCCTGGAGGTCTCCAAAATCCAAAGGAGGGAATTGAGTGTAAACATGCAGCCTTCCATGTGAGGACCAAAAGCCAAGTCCCATTTCCCCACTCGTTTAATAAACTGATAATGGTGCTCAAGTGGAGTGCCCAACTTCACCCCTTCTCACAGGAACAACGGCACTTCCTTCCTTCCAGAAATAAGCTTTCAGGGAAGCCTGAAAAACTGGACAGGCTTCCAGCATAGGAAAAAATTACTTCTGCCAGTTGGCTTAGTCCAGTGACTTTAGGATGTTCTTTTGAAAATGGTCATTGCTATTCGTGAGTATACCCTGCATATATCTAAAGCAGCATATTTTAAACAAATAGAACAACAAATATAATTCAGTTTAAATCCTATTTATTTCAAAGGCACACAATAAAGAACACTAATTAATAAGCTTACAATTCAGGGAGGGATGGAAAAGCCTCTTTTTAAGCTTCCCAGCTACTTTGGATGTCATTTGACTGCTCATTTCTCTGGAAATGCCCTAATCGAGGATCCAGGAGTCCTGGGTTTCTAGATCAAACTCTCTAATTTAAGCAGTCCAGCTAGAAATGAGGGAGAATTATAATTTCTATTCTGATGCATTTCCAGATACACCTCTGCTGGTGTTATACATACTGCTAAGATGGCTGGAGTGTTGCTTGGGATTTACTTAAAGACTCTGGGCACTCAACTTAAACATAGCAATTCCAGGTGGCATATAATAAATAAAAAATAAAGCAAAATAAACAAATACAACCAAAATTAAAATATGTTTAATAGGAAATCACAGCCAAATCCTTCTCCAGAGGTACCAGACTACTCCACAAATTATGGTTAAGAAACCACAATGCGTATGTTTACCCAAGAGGCAATAAATCACTTTCTGCCTTAAAGTGATGGAAAACTCAGCCATTTGTGTGCCACTAATCTGATTTCATTGGACATATTGTCACCAACTGATGGCCCAAAAGCACACAGCGTGGCAGAGGAAGTTGGACACGTTGTGCAGTCAAAAGGCCTGTGATCCAAGGGATGAGGGGCAGGCAGGTGCTGGTGTCTGCTTATCTGGGCCCTCTTCCTGCTGCCATTCCTTGGGAGGGGGGCTACTTGAAGGTCAGTCCCAGAGACGGTCCTGGCTCATTATGACTTGGGGGTGCAAGGAAACCAGCCCCCTCCTGATGGAGCATCAATGGGCAGCATCACTTCGGTTTTCTAACTTTGCCCACGCATTGTTTTTTAACCTTCACAAAAGCCCCCCACCCGACACTTGGGAGCCCCAGGGATGCGGCACATCCACCCCAAGGCTGATTTCCCCACAGGAGACCCCGATGCCGGCAGGCCGTTAGCTGGCCAAACATCCCCACAGAGGCCAGGCTAGGCTTCCTGGAGGCCTGGGCCCCCTGTGCTTTCTGGCAACTTTGGGGGGCGGCCTCCTCCACTCTGCTCTCCGAGAGGGAGGTTGGTTGGAAATGTGGATGCTGGTGCCATGGCAACAGATGCTTTAAGTAGATGCCCTGGAAGAGGAAGGAGGAGGAAGGAAGCAAGCAACCGAATCAGGCGAGCAAAACTCGGGGCGACCTGGCAGTCTGGGGGGTCGTGGGGGGGCAGGAAAATGAAAGAGGTCCCAGGGAGGGAGGAGGGGGTTCTCTCCTTTCGTCTCTGTTTGAAATACCACCTTTAAGCCCCACCAGGTTCCACTGCCCGGGAGTCTCTGGGCGACAAAGCGGGCTCCGAGGGCCTCTGCTGCCCAAGAGTCAAGGGGCTGCCCGGGGGGGAGAGGGCGAAGCGGCGGAGGGCGGACTGCCCAGGGGGATTCCGGGAGCAAGAGCCCCCACCGGGGCCCTGGTGCCGCCGAGGGGCGCTTTGCCCGCCCAGGGCCGGCGGGGGGAGTCCCG